ACCTTGTACACACATTGCCCGTAGTGCTCTCAACCCTTAAAGGGGTCGTCCAGAAATATCAATAGAAGATATTCGTTTGTTCGAGGGGAGTGGGGGGGGGGGGGATGGATTTGGGCCCTGTTCCTCTCGTCTTGATGAAACAAAATGTATACCGATCTCTCCATTGTAAATACATGTATTGCCGGGCACTGTGCAAACAGTTCATGTAGTTTATGACCTACACAAAGTGAAAGTCAACCTCGTGTACATAGCCACGACAATGTTGTGCGACCATGGCAATGTAAAACTAGGTGCATGGTGAATTTGGAGTTGCAGCTGGTCATGTTTCATGAGGAGATTGGACTTCATTAAAAAGTATCGATCCCCTGCATAAAATAAATGTGTGTATGTTCATTTTGAGGGGGGGGGGCTGCCATATTCCAGGAGTGGCGTATGTATACAGTGTATATAAGCAGCAGTGCTTTGGGGGTTTAGGTTGCCCCTAATTATTCTAGTCAGGAGGTGAGTAACTTTGGCGGCCTTGGTTTGAACGTACTGTAAATATACAAAAATTCGGCGCTGCAAATTTTCGGCACTTCACGATTTCTGACATTTCGGCGGCGATTTATTTTCGGCGTGGGGTAGAGGGCATGGTATAGTGCGACAGATGCTGTGAAAAATTTCATCGGCGTTTTAATTTAGGCGTTTTGGGTCGATGCCGAATATAGCCGAAATTAAATAGCTGCCGAAAATTTGTATATTTACAGTACTCGATATGTTGATCCCATCGCATGTGGTGCTGTATGATGATGCCAATGTGTCGGTGTTCTGTGCCTTGGCGCAGGACACTGCCGAACAGTTTGACGTTCAGGGCAATCGAAGGCTTTGGAAAGGTCGAAAAGCAGGCAAAACGTGTTGATGGTTGTCTAGGTCGCAGGTGATGTGGTACACAAGCCGTCCAAGTTGGAGTTCGGTACCATCCTTCTGTCCAAATCCAGATTGTTCTGCAGGCAGAAATTTGTCGATATGCTTGTATAGAGCCCCGTACACCAGTCGTTCCTGAATCTTAGAAGTGACCGATAGTAGTGAGAATTTTTTGTATAGTATTTTATTATTTTACTTGGGCATTCCCGACAGACCCTAAGGTCTTCTTACAGGGTGCCCAAGACGAATGAATGTGCTAAGTTCCTGGGGTAATGAATTGGGGATATGATTTGTGCGAAGGGATTCGGGAAGCGAATTAAAGCGGTCAGCACCAAGGAATGATATAGATTTGTATCCAGCTTGAGTTTGCACAATGGTTAAAGAAATAGAATTATTGACTTGGCTGCGTGAGAAGGGACGGTAGTCTGTTGGATCTGTTCTGCTGCATTGTGTACGCCGGTGGAGGTTGGCTGGTGAAGCCCCGGATACACCTCTAATCCAGTCTCAGTAAAACTTGCCGCTTTTCGTCCGGCAGACCCGGGAGAAAAGGCATTGGTTGCATACAGAGCATCAGGCAGAATTAGAGCGTCGTAAAACAGGTGTGCCTGATCGATGTTCTGGCGTCCCCGAATATGGCGAAGAACTCGCAGTTTTTGTGACACCTTTTTCATCACCATTGCAATCTGATGGCCCCGGCGAAGGCGTTCGTCGAGCTGAATTGCTAGGCACTTAGCATTGGACACATTATGCAGAGGGGTACCATTGTGTGTGTGTGTGTGTGTGTGTGTGTGTCGTTTACGGAAACACTAGCTGTGTGTAGAACGGTCCCCTTTCACCTCAAGTACTCTCCTTGTTTCTTTTCCTTTCTCGCTGTTGTCTCCCGCTTCTGGTAGCGACGTGGCCATTTTGTGGCAGTTGTACATAGTAGTAGTGTCGTTTACGGTGTGTGTGCGTGCGTGCATGTGTGACTGTGTGACTGTGTGGGTGAATATGCATTTCTTGTTGCCACAGATTAAGTTTGCTCTAGGAGCAATTCTCTTGCTGACGATGACCAGCGGATCTGCATCCGGTAAATACGACGTGCATGCTGTGTTAATCTCCAATTGAAATCCATTTTATTGCAATAGAGCTGTGTGCCCATTTGTATCACAAACATGCAAACGAATGTACATTTTCAAAAGGTTTTCTCGTCACAATGCTCAATGGAATCTCGCGAGTGAACGGAATAATGAAACAGTAATAGATTTTGTCCCCTTGGAGGTAAACAAGAATATAAGTAGGAAAAAGGCAATGAATAAAACCATGTGTGTCCTCGTATTACAATCAGAGCAACGAATAAGAGTGTTCAGGATCGTTTTTTGTCACGATTTATCAATGGAAGGTTGTGACTGAAATGATATCAAAAACAGTAATCAGGCTCGGGTGGAGAGCCAAGGATAAATTTATAAGAAGAAATGAAGACCAAGGAACTCCATGTTATTTCTAACTGGGAAAATGCCAAGCTGGAAGGTTTTTAGAGTGCTCATCCAAGATGTGCTGCAGCTGATTGCCGGTTAGGTGTAGAACGTCAGTACCGTTGGTCAGTGTCGTGCAATGTTATCGCATGAGCTGATTGTAAAGTAACTGGTGGTGTTAGTGGACAGCATAGCGTAACTGGTAGTTCTTGTTGCTCATTTCTTCTTATAAAACAGTACTAGCATTTCTACACTTGGAGCGACAAAATGAACAAGACTTGAACAAGTGAACAAGTGAGAAAGTATCACATACAGTAATTTCGAATACTAGTTTAAAGCATATAATCCTTATACTGTTAAAGGATAGATAGATACACTGGTGAGAATATAATGTAAAGGATAGATAGATACACTGGTGAGAATATAATGTAAAGGATGGATAGTACACTGGTGAGAATATAATGTAAAGGATAGATAGTACACTGGTGAGAATATAATGTAAAGGATGGATAGATACACTGGTGAGAATATAATGTGATATTCAGTCAAGATAGCACTGTCTAGTGCGTGGTCCAATGTGGCAATGCATATGTAACTGTGTGGGATACACAGCCTCCTGCCTGAAATAACACTGCTAGCCCTGAAACCTATGCAGCCCCCACATTCTCACACAGCTTTTCATACGGCGCTACACGACCTACCCTCTCCTGGCATATATACCGGCATGGTCGGCATCCCATCCTCTTGTTGCCTGATGATTGCGAGAGCATGAAACTTGAAGTAGCCGCAAACAAGCTTTGACTGTCCTTGTTGTTCTGTGACCTTGGTGCGTATAAAAGTTACTGGACGCAGAGTCACACATGCATTGCCGAAATGGATGCAGCTGTGTTCCCCTTCGAGTGTCTCACTATCTGCGCTCATGGACGGGTTGAACAGGAACACCAGTATGTTTTCTTTCCAGCTTGCAAGTGTAGAGATCAGCTAGGTGCATTGAAACAGGGGTAGAGAGCAACATTTTTTTATAAATTTAAAGGCTGATTTACGCGTGCACGCTCCTCGTGCACCTTGAGTGTATTAAAATATTCCAAGTTGGAAAGCTGTTGGTTTGCGCACCCAAGACGGGTGCCATGTGGCTCTTTATGGCTCAGGTCAGTATTGTTTAGTTTCACGACGAATGGTGATCATTAGACAACAAGAAAAGTTTTGTATAGGTTTGGCCGATAGTGTGCTGATATGAATTGTGTGCTTGTGTGCATTCTTATGTTTGTGTGGTTGGGTGTGTATGGAATAGGAAAGGAATGTCCTCCAGGTCTTGAAAGCACAGTTTTCAAATTATTTCCAGCCATTCATTATTCTCAAATTTCCCTGATGAGACCTTATGTAGGGTATCCACACGACAGGCAAATCCACGCTCACCGCGTGTATCTTCTCTGATTATAAGTCACACTTGATAATAAGTCGCAACCCATTTTTAGGTCTGAACCAAATTGTATGAATATTTTCACATGACCAGGAAGTCAAACTCGATTGTAAGCCGCACCCCTTCTTTGTTTTTAACGTATAGGCTAAAAAGTTGCGACTTACATTCTGGGAAATACGGTATAATTATTGGCGTCCATGGTTCGATTTCCAACCATGGACATGGGCATGGACAAGGGAATAATGGATAAGGAATTAATGAATATCACTTGATCTTAGATTTTACTACTACATGTATAGTACTGTACCGTCAATTCAGAAAAAGATGAGAGCTGGCTCTGGCGAGTTCCAGCATTTGGTGATTTTTCTTGATGTCTTCGAACACGGTGCACTGCCGCAAGATTTGAAACTTTAGCAAGGATTGCAAAAAGATGCCGAAGTTCAACTGGAGTTCGAACCGCACAATGTACTGTTATGAAAGTGGAGTGAATGGCCTGGATTTTCATGGTTTTGTCCCCAATTCAGTGCTTTGGTGCTTTGGCTGAAATCCTATACTTGCTATGGTTTGCTTTTTGTCAAAATTTACTTCAGAGACAGAATTAGCCGAGCATTCCATGGGGGATTGCCAAAACAAATTGTGAAAAAAACACCTAAAACTTAACCCATTCATGGCCAAAAGCTAGCAGGTTTTCTTATGAATGGACTGTAGTACCGTGCTGCTCAACAAAATGTCTCCGGTGATATATTAGAAGCACCTTTAACTGTTATTCTGTTGACGTGAATCGAATTTCAGCATTTTTGTATTTTAAGAGCCACCACTCTTGAGTGCTGGTATTCCATTCGATGTTTTAAATACTGCCAGACACTCTCCTGTAATTATTAAGACTCTAGTTAACTAGGGAATATGGGGTATGTAGTGATATTGTCATTTTATATCCTGTGCATTTCAGCTCCACAACCAGCACTAAAATTGACAGCAGATCGTGTTTTGGGTGAGTTTACAGGGGCTCCCCCTAAGCGGTCAGTACGTGCGGATGTATTGACCGTTTATTCCCGTAGCTATGCAGAAGACGTTACTTCAGTAACGTCTGGCGCTAGCTAGGGTCAACACAGCTTTAATTTGGTGTTTGTGGCAGACGGACCTCCGTCTGGCGCTATCCCGTATCTGTCCCGTACCGTACTGTACCATCAAAGACAGCCGGCCACAAGCAGCTGGCCACAATATTCAAATAGGGCTTTCAAATGCAAGATCATAACGTGAAGCCACTTGGAAGAATGAGTATGTATGCGAAGTGTATCGGGGGATGCATGCAGGGCGATAGTGCGGGTTCGAATCCCAGGTTAGGCCACACTTTGTTTTTTCTATGTTTCTCGTCGGCAAATTTTAACAAAAGGTATGCGGGCGGGCGGAAAAAAACAAAAGCCAATAAAAAAACGAGAACAATTTCTACTGAAAACTGTACACAGTTTGTGTGATTCATACAAGACACTGCCTATACTAGTCCCATAGTACATGATTGTACAGTGGTCCCTCTCTAATCCGGCACCATTTGTGCCACGAAAATCTGCTGGATTAGGGAGGGTGCTGGATTAACAAATCTGATTTACTGCTGCAATGTGCATGAAGAGGACATTTTGGCTACTGAAAATTGTGCTGGTTTATCGAGGGTGCTGGATTATAAAGTTCCGGATTAGAGAGGGACGACTGTACTATTATCGTACCATGTACCAGTCCACGAAGGAGTAGGCAAAGTGCAACAATAATGCGAGTATAAAATTTGATGGCGAGATGGCGAAGAGAACATACATGACATTGTGCATGTACCTGCTATTAGTATTACATTGACAAACACTTTCCCACTCGTCTTTTCTATTTCGTTACTTCAACGTTCTTATGTCCGCTTCGTTATTAATACTTTTGATCGCATTAGTAAAACTCTTGTCTCCACGCCTGTCAACATTTCCTCGCCATGTGTCCATTGTTCAGTTTTTCTGCTCGCGTATGATCTCCACGACGTCATTCCGCAGACGCCAGTTGCCACAGAACTTGTCCGATTTGCGGTATTCCTGGGACCCCCGATGCTCGGGCAGTGGAAGACTGAAAGCTTCGTTGCGGCAGCCTTCATCGCAGACAACGCACGGGGAGCACTCCTTTGCTGCTGTGCTGCAAAAGCTTACGCTTTTGATTGACGCATCTAGCTGCTGCAGCATGTATATGTACATGTATGAACTTTTTTTTTCTTCTGAGATTTCTGAAAACCTACGCGCGCGGTGACGAGAAACATCGAAAAAAAAAAGTGTGGCCTTATGTCTTGAAAAAATAGGAGAAATGAAAAATTTTATAACATTCCTATGCTTTTTTTGCCTAGGTCATCAAGGCAAAAAAGCATAGCGTAGGGCCCTGCGCTTCCAAGCTCTCTCGTTATCTTGTTACATTCGTGGATAGTTGCTTCATTACTCGTTTCCATATATTTTCTTCTTCTATCTTGCTGTACCGTCGCACTTGTCTCAACCCATTTTTAGTTCTGAACAAAATTGTATCAATATTTTCACATGAGCAGGAAGTCACACTCGATTGTAAGCCGCACCCCATCTTTGTTTTTGAAGTGTAGTGTAAAAAGTTGCGACTTTCATTCTGGGAAATACGGTATAATTATTGGCGTCCATGGTTCGATTTCCAACCATGGACATGCTGTATGCATGTGGGTGCAGTCAAACTTTCGGTTCTCGGCCAAATCTTGATCAAATTCAACAATCGAAGGGTCTAGGCAGAGAAGACTCTCAGCTATCGCCTCGAACAGGTCCGAAGTCTCTCTGAGGTTTGAGTGAGCGGCGAGCCATCGAACAATTTCAATTTTCTGCGCTGTGAGCTGCGAGTCAGCAGTGCTTGAAAAAAGGGATTTTCCCAGCTTCACGACAGGCAGCACATGCCAGGACCGGCGCGGCGCAAAGTCACGGCAAGGTAAGCTTCTAATCGAAAAAATGTGAACAGTTCCGAGCTAGATTCAGTGAAATGGCTGCAGGAGACCGATTTCGCCTCAGATCTGGAGCTGGACTTGCGTTTGGAGCGCATTGTGGCTGACAATGAGTAGTGCTCTTGGCGAGTTTGGGCTCATTGTATTTCTCTCATCAGGAGCTTTCCAACGAGCCCAAGATCTTCAGAATCGGTGAAGTAGAACCAAAGTTATGTTGGAAATTGAGTGCGCATTTTCGTGACTGCCACAAATTCTGCGGAAGCAAAAGAGTTATGTGCTCCAAAGGGAATAAGGTATAAGGAATTAATGAAAATCACTTGATCTCGGATTGTACTACTATAGTACTGTACACTCAATTCAGAAAAGAATGAGAGCTGGCTCTGGCGAGCTCCAGCATTTGGTGATTTTTCTTGATGTTGTCGAACACGGTGCAGTGCCGCAAGATTTGAAACTTTAACAAGGGTTCAAAAAAGATACTTCAACTGGAGTTCGAACCGCACAATGTACTGTTATGAAAGTGGAGTGAATGGCCTGGATTTTCATGGTTTTGTCCCCAATTCAGTGCTTTGGTGCTTCGGCTGAAATCCTATACTTGCTATGGTGTGCTTTTTGTCAAAATTTACTTCAGAGACAGAATTAGCCGAGCATTCCATGGGGGATTGCCAAAACAAATTGTGAATAAAACACCTAAAAACTTGACCCATTCATGGCCAAAAGCTGACAGGTTTTCTTATGAATGGACTGTAGTACCGTGCTGCTCAACAAAATGTCTCCATTGTCTCTCGCGCTTAAAATACAAGTAAAGCCTATTCCTCGAGATACTGTGACAAACCATCGTGATAAATACATCATAGATGCGAATATTCCATGCACATTATCATAATTAACTTTTATGCTTTGAGAATTTTTGCTTCTCAGTATGCACAGCGGTGCAACTTCTACGTCCTCTTGAACCTACTACATCATGATGCCTCGGAAGGCACAGGAACTCGATCTCACATTCTTTTTCGGTTTCTTGCTCCAGGTCAGCCGAATTTCATGATTCAAACTGCACTGCAAAGCTGAGATCCACGTGCTTCCGCTGGTGTCCATTACACATGCGCTGTGCCAAAGGGAAATCCCCTGGCACGCAACCGAAAACTGTAAACCCATGAAAAAAATTCACAATCGCTCAGTGCCGTGAATTTAGTGTTCACTTCGTCGCCTCTCCGTCAATCTTTCTCCTATCGCAAAGAACTTTATATCGCTGGAAAGCTGAGCTCAATATCTTTCAAAGTAAATCCATATAAAACCGAGTTGATCCGTGTGTCACCTGAATCCGAGAGCTGGCGCAGCATGGAACTTGCCTCTCGCGTGAGCGAAACATCGACACTTTCACCTGGCACTTCTTGCTGCGGACTGTGGCAGGCAGCGGAGTATCTCTGGAGAGCCAAACACATGCCCGCGCTCACTCCTACTCTCACAATTGCTTTCACTCTCACACTCACCGGACTCACTGGTCGAATCTTCCTCGACTGGCATTACATTCGATGTTTTAAATACTGCCAGACACTCTCCTGTAGTTATTAAGACTCTAGTTAACTAGGGAACATGGGGTATGCAGTGATATTGTCATTTTATATCCTGTGCATTTCAGCTCCACAACCATCGGCACTAGAAGTGGCAGGAGATCGT